GATTGCTTTTTTGGTCCGCACTCGAGTATGATTGCTACATTCACAACTGTTTAAACGAACCACATCAAGAGGGAAAACAAACTCTAGTGTGATTCAACTAAACTAAATAAGGCAGGTGTGAAAGCACCCTTGAACTCTCCATAGATTGTTAGTCCAATTTCCACCAAATGTGCCTCAGGCCATGCTGCCCAATTTTCCATTAACTCTGCAGCTTCTTGCCCGTTCTTGCTTGGTCCCGATAATTGCTGCTTGCAGCTATAATGTGTTTTGTTTTTAGTCCAAATATCTGTAAGTTCTAAAATCAAGAAGCTTTTTTTGACTAACAAACAATATTGTCATTTTAAGAAATAATATCCCAAAATTAAATGATTTTTTCTCAAAACAATCAAAGTGTTCTGCCAATGGGGTATCCAAAATAAACGTATTTTTCATTTTGACATATATTTTTGCTAATCCCATGGCAGATTACTTGGAAAAAAAACCTCTAAATTTTGGCATATTATTATTTAAATCAAGACAGTTATTTTTTTGCTGGTCTAGAGAATGTATCTTGATTGAAGCATTTTTTGATATTTGAACAACAAACAAGAGAAAAACATTAAACGTTGCACTTTTTGCATTGTAAATAGAGTTTACTTTACTTATTTATTAATCAGGAACTGAAATTACACTTGTTGTGAATCAATCCTTTATTGTGCTTTGCTTTCTAATGCATTGCGTAACCTTTAATCGATTTACCTAGCAAAATAAATATTTATGCCAACCAACGTTTCCAGTTCGAAGTGACGGATACATCGATGTACACACCAGATAACACGATAACCCCAATTATCTCGACGACTTAATAGGCGGTGTCAGAAGAACACTGGCTGTAAAAGCCCTTCTCCAGGCTAGATCAGTCACCCGATAGTCTCTCAGATGTCTGTTGTCTTGAGGGAAGGGAAGGGAAGACTCTCCAGACGGTGACATCAGAGATGGTGTGGTGCCTTCAGAGCGGGGCAGCTGTTTTCTCAGGCTCTTTACACATTCCCTGATCCCACTTCAAAACATATAGCGGGCCCTTCATCTGACGCTTAATAATGGGATCGCTAGACTGGCAAGTGAAGGCCCGACTGGCCTGGGGTGAAAGGGTGAAAAATTATCGGCAGGCTGGGAATGTGCCCTTCACCTCCAGGACATTTTCGGCTATTTAAACAGCACTTTCTTTGGAGCTGATTCCCAACCGCAACCACAGCCAGAGGAGATTTGTCACACACACACACACACAAGTTGAGGCTTTCTGGCTTTGGTAGGTTTATTGAAAGATGAGATAGAGAGGGTCACATGGTTTTAAATGAAAAGTGTAGAAGTTCCTTTTTAGTTGCTTTAACTTTTTGTTTGGTTTGTCTTTTTACATCCTGTGTATTTGTGCTTTAAATTGAGAATAGTAGAACGTAAAACAAGTAACGTTGCTTTGGTAGCTTACTGAAACAATGTCAGTAAGTCTTGCAAATTGCCTTGCTCTGTGACACATCGGGCTCTATTTTGACGGTCCATGCGCAGAGCGCAAAACGCAGGGCGCAAACACTTTCAGGGTGTGTCTGAACGCATTTTTGCTAATTTACGGACGGGAAAATCCGCTTTGCGCCGTGGCGCATGGTCTAAAAGGATTGAGTTTATTTTCTTAATGAGTTATAGGTGTGTTTTGAGAATAAACCAATTAGAGTCTCATCTCCCATTCCCAAGACCCAGCTGCGTCGCGCCAAGAGCGCATTCGCTATTTACAGGACGTAAAGTAAGTCTAAGTGGAAAAACTGAGCATTTCACAAGCAAACAGTTAACAGTTGAGAGTTTTTTACAGAAAACTATTACACAGAGCATCTACTGCATGAGAATGAGAGATAATGGATCACTTTCACTTTCGCTCTTGGATAGGGAAACCTTTACGCACAGACATCAATTAGTCTATAAATAATTAATTGCGTTTGTGAAGCGCAAATATTCGTTTGAAAACTATTTCTAAATTCAGTTCTAATTTCCAGCAAACGAATAAATAAACAACAATAACGAAGTGTGTTCAAAAACCTGAGTTATATTCTAAAACACATGCTGTGCCCCATATGGTCTAAAACCTGACAGGTGGGCAAATCTAAGCTTGTTTTTAATAAAACAAATATAAATATGGATATAATAAATAATACTGCTAATAATAATAACATTATACAAAAGCAAATTGTTATGAATGAACTGAAAAAGCCTCCCGAGATGAAGAAGACATAAAAGCAGTGATTTTTCATATTTATGTAAGCTAGAAAATAGTATGTTTTGTAATATTTTAATCCTTTATATTTATATCCTACATCTATTCTTATTATATCCTATATATATCCTTAATATTAATTTTTTTTTATATGTAAAGATATTTGCCTATTGCTCTCTTGTGCATATTAAGCAGTGTGTAAGCGAGGCACAACTCTGCGCCGGAGTTTAGACCGGGTTTGTTTTGGTCTAATGAAAAATCTATTTTAGTTTCTCAAAATAGCAACGCGCCAGCCGTGCGCCTCAGAACGCCTTCCTTTTTAGACCAGAACGCCTATGGGTGCACATATAAGCACTAAAGCATTTGCTATTTAAACAGCGTGGCGCAATGCCTCAAAATGACTCTTGCGCCAAGCTAAAACTAGCAAACAAGTATTGCGCCGCGCCTTGCGCCACATTGCGCCGGGTGTATGATAGGGCCCATCGTCTCTCCTGAATCTAAAATACTCCCAAACGGCTGTTGTTGAATTTCTCTTTGGCACCAAATCATTTTTATTTTGACCTGCATTCATATAACATGTTCTTTCCTCCTGCTCGCCTATTCGGCACTTCGTCATGCGCAGAGTGAGCTGGTTAACATCTTTCTCCTAATCAACTTAACTGTAATTGCCCGGTGTGCTGCGTCAGCTCTGATTGGTTAACATATGAAAATCATGCGCACAAGAACATATTCTGAATTAAATTTGAAATAAATTAATAGATAAAAATTGCAGCCTTTCGCGATTTAAAAATTGCGTGTGCTTCAGTTGTGATTTTTTTCTGATTTCAATTAATTGCACAGCCCTACTTAGCTGCATATTTCAATTCACTTAGGCCCCGTTTACACTGCCAGTTAAATGTGACCCAATTTCGTTTTTTTTGCTCATATGGGAAACGGATCGGATCTGTTATTGGACCGTGTAAACACGAAAAAAACGCATGCATTCGGATATTCAGAGATCGGTTTCAGGCCTCCTTCATATGTGGAAATAAATCAGATATAGAGCGGAAATATGACAATGCGACTGCCATGTAAACAGACAGATCGGATTTATTGAGGCGTTCCGTCCTGTACATCATTAGACTTGCAACAATGTGGTGCTTCTCCGCTGTTTAATGACAAAGAAGACGGAGTAAACAACATCAGAGGAAACACAGAGGAGGAAAGTGGTCAGTCGTCACAATCTACGATCTCTCTCGTACACACAAATTCCTCTGAATGGTGGAGGACATCATAAAACATATAAACCATAGGTGCAAACTGCGATGACGGCCCTTTCCCACCTCCGCCTCGAAATCATTTTAAAGTTGCGCGAACTTCGTGTTTTAACTTTTGCTTTTTGTCGCTATTAATACACGCACTGCAGGCTACACATAGAATATTCTCTCCAACACCAGTGCACACACAGGCAAAGGCTACATCTTCAACTACACACACACATATCATCATATCATATGGCCATACCATTACATAAACTGCGTGGGGGTAAATCTGGACTAAACCATTCACTGCTTATACTACACTTCGCATATTTCGCAGAGCTAAAAACAAGACAATTTCTTCCATCTTGGCTAGTGTGGCACAGATGCTAGAACCCGCCATTATGCATTGGCGCGACATCATAAATTGTAGGGCAAGTGTAAATGCATGAATTGGATATGGGTCACAATTAAAACAATGTGTAAACGGACAGGCAAACAAATCAGATATAGGCCACAAATCGGAATTGGGCATCAAGTCCTGACAGTGTAAACGGGGCCATAGAGCTGTGTTACACACTACATGGAAGGTCATTGTCAAAAACCCACAATAGGGGCTCTTTAATGAACTGTTTCTGTATTGTGTGATTCACAAAGTGTTTTCCGTCTATTTTTGGTTGTGAATTGCATTGTGGAGCTTGATTTCTGCTCTGTCCACTTTTGATGTTAAAAATTAACTCTTTTATTGACATATTAGTAGTTTGAAATAATAATCTTGTGTGAGAAACAGGAAGGAAGAATAAGTCTATTATAATAAGTCTACATAGAGGAATAAGTCAGAACATGACTTATTCAGAATATATAATAATAGAAAATGTACTGGCAAATTATTACAAGGTTTTTGTACTGTAAAACCTTCAAACGTATAAACAAACAGGTAAAAATAAAAAACATGAACCACAAAATATGGAAAACTTCTATTTAATATATATATATATATATATATATATTTTACAACTGCGATTCTAGATTTGTTAGATAGGAGGGACACAGGAGTCACTGAGGGCTCCTCGAAAAAGTCATTTTTTAAATATATATTTTTCAGGAATATTCTCATTTGATTAATGACAAAATAAATCAAAATTTAAATGTGACAGTGTTCTTGGATGTATCTTTGAACCACCCCTGACCCTTTAGCATAAACTCTGACTGCTTTTCTTGCTTGGAGTCTATAAAAGAAACAAAATAACCTGGTTTTTGCTTTGAAAAAAGATTATTTGCTTACCCCATTAATGGACTATTTAGCTTTTTTTCAACTTAATTTTGATGTGTTATTTCTAAAAACAAGACAATAGTTTTAAAATGCTCCATGATTGATAATTTTTTGATACTCAGGACTAGAAAAAAGAGAAAAACTCTAAATAATAATCATTTTTGCAGTGTATAAACTCTTGAGTAAGTGTGAAATGGAGTGAAAGAGTCAATCTGTAACGTACCGGTCTCTCTCTGTGTTTGTGTGTCAGGTATGGGCCGGGTGAATCTGGTGCCTCTGCCGTCGACAGTGAGCAGTCCTCGAGACATGGCTCTGGCCGCTGTGATCTGCAGTGCTCTGGCCACTGTCCTCCTGGCGCTCTTCATCCTCTGTGTGATCTACTGTAAGAGACAGCTGCTGGAGAAGAAACCAGGTGAAACACAGCAGACACATCCACTTCAGACTAGCAGATTGATTTCGCGTTCACACTGAGAATCAGAACTGTAACGTTAGCTAAACTACACTTGCAGTTTTCTCTTTTGCTACTTTAAAGGTGCTGTATGTAGGCTTTTGAGTCTTCTAAAGCAGTGGTTCCCAGCCTTTTTTTTTTGCCTGAGACCCCCGTTTTCCCCTGGAAAATATTGCCGACGCGCACCTCTCAAAAAATGTAACTAAACGTCGCAACGACACATAGCACAAGCTCTGTGATTAGTCGGCTTGGTAGCACTGACGAGTGTGGGCAGGACTGTGAGCCACGCAAGCCCGATTGTTTACAAGTGTGGAGTCCCGTGAAGGAGCTCCGGATGTAAAGTTTTGTTTTGTGTTTACCTCATGGTTAAAGTTGTTGCACGTCAGCCAGGTCCTGCATCAAAATGAGCGAGTTTGAGTCGCTTGTACATTAAGGAAGCATTCAGAAAAAACAAAACACCAGCGAAGAAACTCGACACAGAGGAACATAAACAACTCTCTGCCAACTAGCGTTTCGAAAGTGTTATTGCAGAGCAACAGAAACAGCATGCAGAAGTATAAATGCACTTCCGTGGGTCACGCCGATCACTTGACGCAGAAGTATAAACCAGGCTTTACTTTTAAAAGGGCTACTTTTTACTCATAGCTTGAGTAATATTTACAATAGATAATTTTACTCTATTCCCAGAGATGGGTTGCGGCTAGAAGGGCATCCGCTGCGTAAAAACTTGCTGGATGGGTTGGCGGATTAATAAAGTACTAAGCTGACAAGAAAATGAATGAATGAATGAATTTTACTCGCACTACATTTTTGGGGAGGTAATGGTACTTGTGAGTATGATTTTACAGTTGTTTTTCCACCACTGTCAATATGGTGCTATTTTAATTAGCTGAATTCAATAATAAATTAATAATTAATAATAATTTTATAATTTATTTAAATTGTATAATGATTAATATGTGAATAATAAATTAAAATAAACAATAAATTAAATTAAATTAAAAAAACTAAATTTACAATTATTTCATAATTATATATTAATTATTTTTATCATTCATAATAATATGGGTTAATTAATAATTAATTAATAAAAAAAACTAAATAAATAATAATAATAATAGTATAATCTAGATTATCTAAACAAATCTAAAATAATTTAAAAAAAAACTTTGCTGCTTGCTCAAACCACTTATTCAAAATGAATTGAAACAACTTAAATGATTTATGTTGCATCTACTTAAATTTGTAAAAAAATAATAACAATAATAATAGTTTAATTGGTAGATTTGTGTTGGGACAACATGAAGGAATTGCGTGGATCCCAGCATGTTTTACAGTGTATAGTATTTATACTACATTGTACGATGTGACACATTCGATTTGTGCTGGGACGACATAAAGGAAATAAGTTGACTTAATGTGTTTTTTTTACAAATTTGAGTGGATTGAGCGTAAAACAATTGAGTTGTTTCAAATAAAATCTCAAGAATTTAACAAACAGCATACATCATTTTTTGAGTGTATACCTTATATAACATGACAAAAATGTCACTTAAGCTGTGTTTATTTAATAATTATTACCTGAATATTTGCTCTGTGTGCTAAGTTGTATTATTGAACAGTGTCTTGACATCACTGTGATCTTTCTGTTGTGTCAGTATCCATGAGGGCTCATGAGGGCCCGTTCCTGGGCTCGGAGTTGTCTTGTTTGGACCGGAGAGTGCTGGAGTTGTCCCAGAGACCCTGCTGTCACTGCACTCATGGATCAGAGCAGACGTGTGGTGAGCTTCACACACCCTTCACTACTGTGTGTGTGTGTGTGTATTTGTTTATGATGTTTACGAGGACGTTGAATACTGACATGCGTATGATCAAGTTGTACTCCATTACAGTGCTTTACAAGAACATGTCTGCTGTACAAAAGGTTTAAAAATCCTACGTAACGGGGTCTTTTGACATTCAAACAGGGTTATTTGACACTGGTTTAGGGGTAGGAGTAGGGTAAAATCATATAATAAGTGAATTTTACTGTAGGGTAAAACCGTGGCTCAATAGATAGCAAGAAGGTCGCTGGTTTGAGTCCTGGCTGGGCCACTGACAGTCCACAGTCCAAAAACATGCACTATAGGTGAATTGAATAAACTAAATTAGCTGTAGTGTATGTGTGTGAATGAGTGTGTATGGATGTTTCCCAGTACTGGGTTGCAGCTGGAAGGTTGCTGTTTATGGCAGGTTATTCCACTGTGTCGACCCCTAATGAACAAAAGGACTGAGGCAAAGGAAAATGAATTTGACTGTATAAAATACTTTTTGTCTACAGAGAGTCCTTGTAAACCACATATACAAGTATGTGTGTGTTGAGTGTACTTGTTTGACTATCATTACCAGCGCTGGTTTGAGATTTGGGTCATCAGAATGAACACCAAGTGGGTAAAGTGAGGACTTTACTCTCCTCCTAAAGCGTGGAGAGTGAATTGAGGCCGTTACTCAATTTCTGGAAAGATTGGTTTTTAAGGTCAAGGTTAGAATGGGTTTATGGTTGGGTTTAGGTTTAGTGTAGGGCGCTCAGTTGTGGTTGTTTGGGCCTACTGATTACACTGGGTCAGAGAATGTTCTCAGAAAGAAAGCTTTGCAAATGTGTGTGTTAGTGTGTGTGTGGTCCTCGTTTACACTTCACTGTTTAACAAAAAAATAAATAAATAAAATGCATGGCGGCTCAGTGGTTAGCACTGTCGTCTCACAGCAAGAAGGTTGCAGGTTCGAATCCCAGCTGGGTTGGCATTTCTGCTTGCATGTTCTCCCCGTGTTAGCGTGGGATTCCTCTAGGGGCTCCGGTTTCCCCCACAATCCAAAGACATGTGGTAGATTAATTGAATAAACTAAATTGGCCGTAGTTTATTTGTGTAAATGAGTGTGTATGGATGTTTCCCAGTACTGGGTTGCAGCTGGAAGGGCATTGGCAGTGTAAAACATATGCTGGATACGTTCTGCTGACTTTTGACATTATGGGGACATTTTTTGATTCCCATTGAGAGCGAACACACACACACACACACACACACACACACACACACACACACACACACACACACACACACACACACACCTTCAGCTTTCGTGTTTTCTGGGATCTTCATATTGAGATGATGTTTATACTGTACAGAATGTATATTCATTCTGTACTGTATAAACATCATCTCAATATGAAGATCCCAGAACACACGAAAGCTGAAGGTGTGTGTGTGTGTGTTCGCTCTCTAGTTACTGATTGAGTCCAAACACATCAAACAGATATGTCAGATGAGCATTTATTAATCAAATGCACACACACACCACGCACAATTGTACAGCAATCTTCAAGGGGTCTTCCCATAAACGTAATGATTTTTTTACTATATAGACTGAATATTCCCCTCCCCTAACCTACACAGGAAACATTTTGGAACTTAAAGCTACGGTCACATTAGAGTTTGAGCATGCAATATTCTTTCTTGCGGCGCTGTGAAAGGGGGCGGGATTAAACAAGCTTATTAGACATTCAAAAAAAGTGAGCGATTGCTCCGTGTTTTAAATTTCTGTCCAGAGAGGTCATGTTTTGATCCTTAATTGGTCTCACACCATCAAGTGATGCGATTTCGCAGGTCAGAGACAGAGTTCACCAAGTTTGAACTTTGCGCCGCAGCAACCTGCGAAACTTGACGCATGACCCTGCGTTACCGGTCTGACGCATTGGCGTGCAAATTGAATGGAAGTCTATGGGAGGAAAAGCCCAGTGTGACCGCAGCTTTACATTTTTAAAATACTTTATTCGGTGTGATTTATGAGCCGTTTAAAAACAAATGTCCCCACAAGGTCAAGATGTACTGGTATTGCTACACCAGTGTAGACACGTATAAACACATAAGCAATACACTTCCCTAAAAATGTATGACCTACATAGACATACCCTTTTTGAAAAGAGCAATATAGTATAACTATGTTTATAAACTGTTTCTGATTTTGACTAATGTAATAAAGTTCACCTTTTTTAATGCTGATTTGGATTATTACGTATTGTGAAAAGTGCTACACAAGCTTGAATTGAAATATTGAGTGGCCATTTGGTCCTGACATTGTAAAAAATACAATGTATTTAGAGCATTGTGAAATGTGGTATCAGATGGATGTGTGGTTTGTTTGTATGTGTTTGCAGGTGGCGTTCAGCTGGTGTCGTCTGTGTGTTGTGAGGATGTCTGGAGTCAAAACAGAAGACGAGATGCTCCAGCCTTTCACTCACACTGCAGAATCTCTGACAATGGGTCAGTTACACTCACGCACACACGCACGCACGCACGCACGCACGCACGCACACACACACACACAATGTGTAATAATACAAATTATTTTAATAACATTACGATATATCAATCAGTACAATCACTGTCATTTTAAGTAAATAAATAATACCTAAAAATAAAAATATGCCCAAAGACATTTAAATGATAACCTAATATCAGTGATGTGTATTATTGTTGTGCAATGGAGACTGAAGGTTCTTGTGGTTGCGTCCAGCAGGCTGACGAACGAGTCGGTGGGCAGTCAGACTGATATGGCCTGTGCTCCTGATGAAGTCTGGCCGCTCGTTCAGTCCAGAAGAACCACAGACAGTCTCCAGACCAACCAGAGGTGCTCCTCATGTGAAGAGGATGAGGAAGAAGTGCAGATCTCAGATCAGCGAACTGCAGAGGAGCCTGAGGATGCCTCACACAAACCACTAATACAGCAGACCACTGACACTGAAGGTCAGCAAACATCAGAGCTCTATAATCATTGATAGCGATTATTAATCGGGTTATTAAGCGGTGTGTTTTTGTGCTGCTGTCTTATATACAGCTTTGGAAGGGTTACTTTTAAAATGTATTCCCATAAAGTTACTTTTTTAATGAAGTAATTTATATTCAGTAACTTAATCCAAGCTAAAATATATGAAAGTAATGTAATCAGATTACTTTTGGATACTTTTTTTTAATGTAATCAGATTACTTTTGGATACTTTTTTTTAAATGTAATCAGATTACTTTTGGATACTTTTTAAAATGTAATCAGATTACTTCTGGATTCTCTTTTTAATGTAATCGGATTACTTTTGGATACTTTTAATGTTTGATTCATTTTAATGTAATTGGATTACTTTTGGATTCTTTTTTAATGTAATTGGATTACTTTTGAATACTTTTTACTTTTTGGATTACTTTTGGATACTTTTTAATGTAATCTGATTACTTTTGAATTTTTTTATGTAATCAGAATACTTTTGAATACTTTTTAATGTAATCAGATTACTTTTGGATTCTTTTTAATGTAATCTGATTACTTTGGAAATTTTTTTATGTAATCGGATTACTTTTGAATACTTTTTAATGTAATCAGATTACTTTTGAACACATTTTAATGTAATCAGGTTACTTTTGGATTCTTTTTAATGTAATCTGATTACTTTGGATTTTTTTTATGTAATCAGATTACTTTTGCACACATTTTAATGTAATCAGATTACTTTTGAACACATTTTAATGTAATCAGATTACTTTTGGATTCTTTTTAATGTAATCAGATTACTTTTGCATTCTTTTTTAATGTAATCTGATTGGTTTTGGATTTCTTGAAGTCATATATATATATATATATATATATAAATAAAGTCAAATAAGAGGACACTTTATTCCATATAGTTGTAAGCAATGAAATTAGAATTTTAAAAAAATTATTTTAAATTTATTAATGTTAAGCAAATCTAATAAAACAGAAATTACTCTTCAACTGGACAATAGAAAAAACCCACGGGAAGCGATATTTCAGCAAGCAGCTGTGATTTATTCAATGTCTGAGCAGACTATTGTATTATTTGCACATATCCCAGCATGTGATCCACATACTATAGCTTCATTATAATGCTAATATACTTTTTATTTAGTTTTAAAATGAACGGTTGTAATCCTTTTATTATTCTGTAATCGGATTACTCCATTTTCTGGCGCAGTTACTTGCATTCCGTTACTCCCCAAGCCTGCTTACTGTGTGTGTGTGTGTGTGTGTGTGTGTGTGTGTGTATATATATACATATATACTTATTCTTTAATTCTTAATATAAGCGGGAGCGGGCGGGTGCGGGATTCAAAATTTAGTTCCGCGCAGATCTCTAGCTCGGGCATCTGTTTCGAATGCCTTCTGGACGCATAACTAGGGAGGGGTTCCAGGCATGTCCCACCGGGAGGAGGCCTCGGGGAAGACCCAGGACACGCTGGAGGGACTATATCTCTCGGCTGGCCTGGGAACGCCTCGGGATCCAGCCGGAGAAGCTGGTGGAAGTTTCTGGTGAGAGGGAAGTCTGGGGTTCTCTCCTAAGACTGCTGCCCCCTGCGACCAGGCCTCGGAAAAGCGTTTGAAAATGAATGAATGTTTTCAAGGGAGCCCATGCCTTATTTAGGGGAATCGAGCTCTCCTGTACTTTACACCCTGGTTACTAGGAATAAAAATTATTATTCATAAGTCCGTCTATTATCAGTTTGCCAGAGTAGAACAATATTATCACAGTCAACATTTTACTAGAGAAATCACACCGAATGAAAGCGGAGATGTTGAAACAATCAACTTTTTGTGTTTGTTTCTGAGAGCCAAAGCAAATGAGCAACTGACAAACTGTGGATGGATGGAGAACCAAGGGTGGTGTGTGTGTGTGTGTGTGTGTGTGTGTGTGTGTGTGTGTGTGTGTGTGTGTGTGTAAACATGTCATCACAGGAAACAAAAGCCTTATGCTGAAAAGGCCGACATGAAAGGATCGAATTATTCAATTTCCTTTGAAACGCATAAAAGAGCCTTTTGACAGTCCAACAATGTGCTGGTGTCGAACACGTGAAATCATGCCTTCCTTACACTGCTAGACTTCAACATGTCTCCTGATCATAGCCAGCTTTAATCCACATGTTTGGAATTAGACGCTTGCGTACATTTCTGTTTTTGTTTCAAGTATTTTATCATTCGTTGTGAGATTAGGAGACAAAAATGGTTAAAAAAAATTGTTGTGGCTTAGCTTGAATTTTACATTTAACAACTGATGTGGTTTAAAAAAAATATCTGTAGGATGCCACGGTGGCTCGGTGGTTAGCACTGTTGCCTCTCAGCAAGAAAGTCACTGGTATGTGTCCCAGCTGGGTCAGTTGGATGTTTTCCCCGTGTTGGTGTGGTCTTCCTTAGGGTGCTCTGGTTTTCCCCCCAGTCCAAACACATAGGTGTATACGGTAAAAATGAATAAATAATTGGCCATGTATGGGTGTGTTTGTGTGTGTGAATGAGTGTTTCTCAGTACTGGGTTGCGAGATGAAGGGCATCCGCTGCATAAAACATATGCTAAAATAGTTGGCGGTTCATTCCACTGTGGCAACCCCTGATAAATAAGGGACTAAGCTGAAGAAAAATTAATGTAGGGATAATATATCACAATATATCGCTTCATCATCGATATCATAATGTAATCATTCTGCAATGTTGAGTATGGTTAGTTGATCATTTTGTGTGTGTTTAGGCCTGTGATTTCGAGGATTTTAAAAGCATTCCTGCGAAAGAAATTGTACCATACGTAACTTATAATAATAAATGATTCTTGAATTGTTTATACAGCAAGGCTATGTAGCATTATTTTATATTTAATTTCCTGAATATAGCGGGACTCCCTGGAAAACAATCAAATGCTGTTTATTTTTAAGTATCTTTTTTCTTTTTTTGTATATATTCATGCTTGTAGATTGTTTATTATATTTTATGCAAACAAAATCATGCCAATCACTGTAAAATTAGAAATTCGAGTCATCTAGTGAAATTGTATTAATATTGCAATAATATTATAAAAATTATAATGAAAAAAAAATTTAATTTGTCTTTTTCAGAGTTTGTTCCTCAAAATTGTTCATTCTGATGTTTTTCTTACAATTGTGAATACATATTTAAGTTTTTTTGAGTTGATATCTTGCTCATTTTCTGAAGAATTGCAAAACAAAAATAGATCAGGAAATAGTCAGAAAACTCTGGATAAAACTCACAATCATGCTAATAATAACATCAGAACTGTGCAAGAATCAAGACAATATTATGCAAAATAGAAATGTGAAAAATCGTATATAAAAATTGAGGGGAAAAAAGGCAGCACTAAAAGATGTTAATTGATATTAGAATGACAAGAAATACACACAGAATTGCTAGAGGCTATACATTTTCCGAAAAACAACAACATGAGAACTGCAATAAATGAAGTGAATGTGTAAACTTGTTAAGCCACTAACAGGGTTAACAGTAACAGAGTTGACATTTTCCACCTTTTTGCTAACCTCAAACCAGACACCACATGGCATGTGGGAAACACATTTTCATCCTCCTATTGATTAAAAAGTGAGTGAGAAATTCCCTAAAATATCACAGTAACAGCTTTAACAATCTATTTTGGTGTATCCTAAATTCATTTTCCTAAGGCTTAGTCCCTTATTTATCTGGGCTCACCACAGTGGTGCCCACTATTCCATCATATGTTTAATGCGGTGGCCCTTCCAACTGCAACCCAGTACTGGAAAACACCCATAAAAACTCACATTCACACATAATTATACACTACGGCCAATTTAGTTAATCCAATTCACCTGTACCACATGTCTTTGGACTGTGGGGGAAACCGGAGCATCCGGAGTAAAACCCACGCTAACAAAGGGAGAACATGCAAACTCCACACAGAAACTGGCCCAGGTAGGACTCAAAGCAGTGACCTTCTTGCTGTGAGGCGACAGTGCTAACCTTTGAGCCACTGTGGCACCCATATCCTTAACATTTTGTGCAAATTAAAGATGAACAAAAAATGACACACCTCAATGCCTTCCAGAGTTTCCCGCCAGAGGAAGTGACATCACTTGCAGCAAGTCACATGCTTTCTCTATCATTGTTATGCCTTTTTATAACTGATGTAACCACGTTGACCAGAACAAACACTTATTTTTCAGAACTGAAATTACAAATAATACAGAAAAAAACATTATGCAAAAGTTTATTTAGAGTAAATACACAAAAAAGATGGTGATTAGACCTCATTATTACATAATAATAATAAGACAGTCTTTACGTGACTAAAATCGACATACAAACATTATTTTTTTAGAGATCACTTGATATAACTGGTATTCTTCAAAAGAGTCCAAGTTTGTTTACATCACATTCTCTTTCCTTCCATTAAAAAAGCATCATGTTCAGACATCATATCAAAAGTTTCTCTTCTGTGCGTTAACTGACTCTGACGTGTGTGTTCTGGTGTGGTTTCAGGATGAGCTGCTTTAATCTCAGCGCCTGTTGTTCTCGGAGAGCCTTTCTGACGGTGGAAGAAGCAAAAGGAAGATCCAACCTCAGATTAAAGCAGGCCACACACACTGAAGACAACGGCTGACGAAAGACACTTTATTAACGTCTAAACAAAACCACACTCCACGTTTAGCACTGACTGCTTATGCAGTCAACCTGAATGGATTCTGCTATAGATCAAACTGCGCCTATATATGTATCTGTGTGTGTGGTCAGTTGTAAAAGACTGGGTTTTCATCTAATGATTCAAACTTTGTTTTTCAAAATTGTGAGCTTACAGTTGCAGTTCTGACTTTTTCTTTTTTCTTATAAAGGCTCGTACACACTGGGAAGCTTTCGCTCATGTTTATCGTCAACGTTTTTCTGGATTGAAAGCCAGGTGATTTTCATTGCTGTTAAGCAGAGTGAACAGGCATAATCACCCCCTGACATTAGATGGCAGTGAAACAGTCCATCTGTGTCGTTATAATGGCGTCGACAAACTTGTGACTCTTTTTGTTCCGACACAATGCAAATAGCAGCTCCACATTCATCTTGCCTCGGTGCATCATCGTCTACATTGAATGAAAGTGAAGCTGGAATCGTTTCCGTTTTGTGCTTGAGCACCTCCAAGTGGTGTTCCAAGTGGCATGTAAACAAAGGTGCCAATTGTTTTAGACGTGGCCGTCAAAACAAACAAACATGAGGTATTTTTTTATTAAAAATGACGATTTTATGCCTGGCCTTTTGCACATTGGTACACACGTTCACATTTGCTCCCTTTGTTTAGTCATGCAGTGTTAAACCAAAAATGCATCGCAATTTGAACGGACCTTAATGATAAATGATTTAATTTACTTAGAATTATTAGCCCCCCCCTTGACATTTTTTTATTTTTTATTATATTTCCCAAATGGTGTTTAACAGAGCAAGAAAAATTTCACAGTATGTCTGATAATATTTTCTCTTCTGGAGAAAGTCTTATTTGTTTTATTTTGGCTAGAATAAGAGCATATTTAAATTTTTTTATAAACCATTTTTAGGTAAAAAATTATTAGCCCCTTATATAAAGCTATATTTTTTCGATAGTCTACAGAACAAACCATCGTTATACATCAACTTGCCTAATTACCCTAACCTGGGGTGCGTGTCCCAAAACCATCGTTAGCCAACTAAGGTTGCAAGTTCTGTTATTACACGCATAGTTTATTGATTAACCGTTTCCCAAATACGTCGCTCCAACGAACATTCGCAAAGTGCGTCGCAAACTTGAGCACTCGCAACTACACCTCTGGAGCTGTAGTTAGAAACATAGTTACTGAATGTGTTCTATTCCCACTTATCCCCCCTATACCCTATTCATTTTGAACATTCAAACATTCAAAGTTGGAATTTTAAATTAAAAAAGCATTAAGGTCATCTCTCTTAGGTGTAATTTGCTTCCAAACTATTTGGGGGGTTAATATTTTAGGGGGCCTAATAATTCGGACTTAAACTGTATATGCAAATTTAAATGACAGAAAACAATTCTAACAATAGTCAGAATAGTTAGGTGTAAACCTAAATTTGAAGAATAAACATTAGAATTGCTCAAAATAAAGTCTGAATTGTGCTAAATAGTTGGATTGGGATGAAAACCTAAACAATTTCAGTTGTTAGAAATAAAAGTTGCAATTATGAAATAAAAGAAGAAGAAACGAAATGAGCAGATTTGAGAAATCAAGTTGTGTGTATGTTCACCAGCCTGTTGAATTGTAGATATTGTATCATAGGAAATAGAAGGACAATATTTTTATAATGTAGATACTCATCCTGTGCCTTCAGTCTCGCTGTATGGTCTTTTCTTATAGAAATCGACTCATCAAATGTTTTCAATAAAGTTTTACAAACCTTACTGGAGTCAAAAGTGCATTTTATTACACCATTAAGTGACAAATTATGCACGCTTTACAATCCAAAACACTGTTTTCCCCCTTTATACAGTACAAACAATGAGTTTAATATCTTTCAGCAACATTAATTAACCTACGTTACATATGAATATGTAAATATATTACAAAAAAGGTCATATTTCAACCCAAAATCAGATGAAAAATTATATAATATTAAATAAAATATCTGATTCATTTATTAATAATATTCATATTGATAGCTAACATTTCTATTTTAAATTAAATTAAACATTTCCCTGTTTAATATATTTTATATAGCAGTATATTTCAGGTAATACAATACAAACAGTAAGTATTATCTTGAATATTTAAATATTCTGCACTAGGATTTTTGGTACTTTTTAATGTCAAGATAATATTCAATCTTTTCTTCAAGGATGTAAAAAAATATGACCTGGGCGAGTTCTTAACAGTTTTTGCCATTCAAATTTGTCAACACAAAGAGTACTGATAGTTCAGCCAGTTGTAAAGCATTAATCTAAGTTATGTTAACTGACATATGATATTACACAGCGCTCAAGCTAACCTGAAACATCTTCTGTCAGGCTTCTGAGTCCATGATGAAGGTTTCAAAGTCGGGGTCCAGATCAGATACGAGGGCCTTCACAAAGTCCTCCATGGAGGGTCGTTTCTGCAACATGCCTGAACATGAAACGAGAGGAGCAAATTCCAGTCACACACACACGCAATTTTTTGTGATAATTTCTTGTTTAGGTAAATGTTTACCGTACACTTTGCACTGAATAATCTTATCTCCAAAGAAGCTGTGTAAATGTGTACTGGTCGAGAAATGGTTAATATGTTAAGGGCAGAGGTTTTAGATTTCATGAGCAACTGTACATTTGAATATGACCTTCCACAAATCTGCTTAAAGAGTGTGTACAAAGTGTGATTTTTTCAGCCCGGTTATGCTTAATAAGTCAACAGCGTGTGTGCTCATATAAACCTGCCATTATACTAATATACCTAATATCTTTTCTTTGTAAATGGCACAAAATATACGATTTTTTCGAAAAAATAGCCAAAAAAAAAACATTGGGACAGTGTTATATATTTTGCTGACGTAAGCACTAAAGCTAGATTCCCTCACATTTAAACGAGCACACTTTTTTGGGACACATTATCAGCCAAACCTTGTGTAGTTCATGCAATTTTCCAGGAGAAGCTCCTATAACATTTCTTTTCGCAACTAAGAGCCAGACTAGTTACGACGAAAGTACAATTAAAAAAAAAAGAAATACTATGTTAGATCTAAATACACTTTTTAAACTTGACCCATGCTGTTTAACAGCATAAATAACAATGTTGCACTTGCTTTCGCAAGTTATTGGTTTGCAAATAGTTATTTTAACGAGCTGACTGCAGAGAGTTGCTCAGCATATTAGCGTGCATGTAAACGTGCTCCGAGATCACAGAGCAAGCGATACTGGTGTGTGTCGTCCTGCTGAACTGTGCGCACTCGATTTACAATTCCTCTCCGCTGGAGCTTTGAAGTCTGTTCATTTCCCCTTGTAGAGCTGCCAATGTAAATAAGCCCTCCTCCCTTCCCCCTCGTTCCCTGCATGAGTCACCTCTAAAACACACACACATACATACACACATGCGCACACACAGAGGAGGCCAAGTTCACTCACAGCAACAGGCTGGATTTAAACCTCCCCAAAACTTTGGATGTGCAGATTTCCCAATGGATAAACTGTAAATGAAAAACTTAATATGTATAACTGAGTGTAACCACTAATGTTGTGCTAATTACTGAAAAATAGTAACTAGTTACAGATTACTTACACCAGGGGTGTCCAAACTCGGTCCTGGAGGGCTGGTGTCTTGCAAACTTTAGTTCCAACCCCAATCAGACAAACCTGGACTAGCTAATCAAGCTCTTACTTGGCTTTCTAGAAACCAACTTGCTCAACTTACCTGCAAGGATGAGCTAAAATCTGCAGGACACCAGTCCTCCAGGACCGAGTAGAGACACCCCCTGAAGTAATTTTTGAGTTTTCCAAACTTTTCCAAAGAACATTTTTAATGCACCCATTAATACCCCCTAACTCCCATTAATAATGTCATTTTAGTGCTGCAAGGAGAACACACTGTTGATCAACTTCATTCATTCATTCATTTTCTTGTCTGCTTAGTCCCTTTATGAATCTGGGATCACCACAGCGGAATGAACCGCCAACTTATCCTGCATATGTTTTATGCAGCGGATGCTCTTCCAGCCACAACCCATCACTAGGAAACACACACTCATTCACACACTCATACACTATGGTCAGTTACGGTCACCTATAACACGTCTTTGAACTTGTGGGGGAAACCGGAGCACCTGAGGAAACCCATGCGAACACAAACACCACACAGAAATCGCAACTGATCCAGTCGAGGCTCGAACCAGCGATCTTTTTGCTGTGAGGTGAACGTGCTACCCACTGCGCCGCCCTGTTGATCAACTTCACAGTTTTAATTAGTTTGCATTGTCACAACTAAAATACAAGACAGACTTAAACAAAAATGCTGAAGTTGCTTCAGCATCTTAAAATGTTTTATTTAACCCTTGAACATGTTCCTTCACGGCTTGAGTATGAATAATAGCCACAATATACAAACACAAAAACTTTATGAAATAAATAAATAAAAGTAATCATTCAGAATCAATTTGGTGAAACTCATCACTAAAACACTGCTATTATAGACAACCATAAAGTTTATGCCTTTTAAACAAGACACAAACATAACAGCTGCGCAACAATGAAATCGATGAACAATTTTCAAACTAACCACAAATCAAACATGGTCAGAAACGTATGGAAAGAAAGCTGTGTATATTCAAAGAGCAAAATCTGCTGTGGTATAATGCTGCATTTACAGCAGACGCAGATAAAGGTTCAAGAGCGAGTGATTTACATGTTAATGCAAAGATGCGAACAGACATCCTGTGGTGCGATATGCGAATGATGCGGCGCAAATAACATGACTTGTGTGAATGAAGTGACGCGAGTTGAGAGTTTTGCGCAAAAACTGCTTAAATCTCCTAAAAAACTGCATAAACTATTGTGATCCCAGCGTTAAATGTTGCATTCTCTTTCAGAAAACATTGCAATCCTTTAAAAAAAAACTCAGCCATCAGCTCACAAAATATTTGACTAAAAGTCTGAAAAAAAATCTGAAAAAAAGATGTTTTGTATTCCCAAGAAACTTTGTTCTCTGCCAAAATTATGGATTCTTTCAGAAAAGTATTGCAATGGAGGTTTTTTGCCTTATCTCATAAAACATGTCTTTTTTTTACGTGAAACATGCAATGAAAAACTTTGCATTAACACAAAAACTTTTTTTCTGTCTCGAAATGTTGCATCCTTTCACAAAAAAGAAATCCTGCAATAAACTTTGCATTAAAGACAAACACAAATTTTATGCATTTTAAACAAAACACAAATGTAACAGCTGCTTAAAATGAAAAATCTATGAGCAACTTTCAAATGAAAAACAAATTAAATGTAGTATGTCAGCAACTTATAGAAAGTAAGCAAAATGTAGTGTTGCATAATGTAGAGTTCACACCAGATGTGAAAAGCGTCAAGCGCGAGTCATTTAGATGTTAGGTCAATGCAAAGATGCGGTAGACATCCTGCAGCATGATTTGCACAAATGAGGTGACGCGAATTGCTTGAGTTGAAAATCTGAACTTCAGCAGATATTCACGATTCTTTCAGAAAAGTACTGAGATCGAATAAGAGTTTTTGCCTTATCTCATAAAATATTTGTGTCTATTTTTTTCACCTTTAAAACATTTGTGTTCTCTTGTAAAAGTATTTTTGTTTCATCTGAAACATTGTGATCTCTTGTAAAACTACTGGAACTCCCTGAAAAACTTTGAAAACGGTGCATCCTTTCACAAAAAAAGAAATCCTGCAATAAACTTTGCATTATCTTGCAAAACCATTACAAACCTCTAAAAACTCTGCATTAGCTCACAAAATATTTGCCTAAAATCAGACCAGCAAATCTCTTGTAGTGCAAAAAAACAAACATTTTTTTCTAACTCGAAACATTGCATCCCTTCACAAAAAAGAAATCCAGCAATAAACTTTGCATTCTTGGATTCTTTCAGAAAGTATTCCAATCACATTGTTTTTGCCTTATAAAACATTTGTGATCTATCGCAAAAGTATTGTATTTGCTGAGAAAGTGTGCTTTATTTGGCAAATCATTTTGCATGCAAAATTATACTGCATCACTAAAAGAGAAACCCATCTGTGCTTTCTTGCATTGCCTTACCATAAGAAAACTAGAGTTCTTTCCCAAAATGTTGCACAAAAAATAAAATGATTGCTAAACAACTGCATTGTAGCATAGCAACTGCAACCCCCCAGAATCATTGCACTTTTTTACACAATCATATGCATTTTCTTCCAGATCTTGTGTTTCTCCAAGAAACTTTACATTTATTTGCAAATGCATTTGCGTTCTCTTGTGAAACTGTTGCATTGGGATCTGGACTGGATATTCAAACATAAGCTGCTAAAGCACAGCTTGTTTTCTGAACTACCTGACATGTTTTGGGCATGAAACATAATGAGAGGAAGAAAAACAGAAATCCTACAGCTTCTATAATCATCTGTCTGACTTCAGCTTTTGGCATTATGTCAGTAAGTAGTACCACCTTAAACTATACACCCTATTGTACTTTTCTTTCTTTTTAAGCTGAATGCTATAGCTAGAGATGCTGTTTAGAAAGCTGAAAAAATATGTTCCTTTAATCACTAGTAGATGAGTTGAGGACGAGACGTCTCCACCTTCAATAGCACTTTCTATAATGACAGTGATTTCCTGAGCTCAGTCTTGAGGGGATACAGACTGCAACCCAATCCGAACTCAAGGTTTTACAAGTACAAATATACAAACGCAGACCATATCCAGTGAGAATAAAGATATCAGATAA